AGTACATAAATGGAATTCATGGTGAGGATGCTCAAAGTTTTTGAACAAATTGATTATAATGATATATATTCTTTATCTGTACCATTTCAAACTTATTGTCTGAGATGGGCAGAAAGATATCTACCAAGATGCAGTATTAATTGGTGGCCAATATTTTCTAAAATACTAAGGCAAACCATGACTATGCCAGTTAGCACTTCTATCTGGGTTATTCTTTAATTAACAAGAAAATAATTCAGAATTGATATTAAATAGCCATTTATGAAAACAATAGGATTTAGTTTTCTTCTTTGAAGACACACATAAAGCTAAATGAAATATACAGTCTTCAAGGTTGCTCTCTAAAGGGGAAGAACATTCAATAATACAAGAAAAATGTATTTAAAACAATATTAATAACTTAGTTAACAAATTGTCATTTAGGGAGCACTTTGTGCTGTATGAGATAATAACAAACTAAGATATAAGCTAAAGGTATAGTCAGGAGAAAAAATCCATATGAGAAAGAACCTCTGAAAAAATTGCCATGCTGTATACTAGTCTCAGGCACTGTTTTTGAAGTGTTGAAATTTGTCAAAATTTAGAGTCTTAAAAATGTACTACTAGTAAAAGCCTGTTTATTTAAAATCGTTATATAGGGGTGCATGGGTGGCTCAGAGGTGGTTAAGCATCTGGCTTTGGGACAGGTCATGATCTCACTGTTTGTCAGTTCAAGCCCCATATCAGGCTCCATGCTAATAGCTCAGAGCCTAGAGACTGCCTGGGATTCTCAGTCTCCCTCTGTCTCTCTCAAAATAAATAAATAAACAAACAAACAAACATTAAAAATTTTTTTAATAAAAAATAAAATCTTTAAAAAACTAAAAAGTCATTATTTAAAGGCATTCACAATTATCCTAATGGTGCTTTTTGTTTGGATTTTGTTTGAAAATAAATAAAGGAATGAATGAATGAGACCTCTAACCTCAAATCCCACTTTGGAGAATTACATTTTGAGACATTTTAAGTAGTAGTAAAACATACACACACACACACACACACACATACACACACACACCCCTCAACATTCACTAATAGGGGCATAAATTCTGAATATCCATATAAATATTGTACAGTTATTAAAAAGAACAAAAATAACATTACTTGGTAGATAGTAAAAGTCAGAGGCTAGAACTGTGGACTCGAGAGCCACATTCCCCAACTTCAAATTGCTGCTCCCACAATCATTACCTGTGCAACCTTGGGCAAACTAATCACATCTCAGTTCCTCATTTACCCACTGGGGATAATAGTACCTACCTCACATGGTAGTTTTGGAGGAAATGAGATAAACCATAGGGCCGGACATCCAGCACGTACTGGAATGATGCCCATATTGTTTGGGGGATGGGAGTGAAAGCTGTACAAATTTTACAGCATAGATGTACTTTAGTTAAAAATATTTTAGAGCATTTATTAAATATAGTTGAGCATTCAGAGCATAAAAATATTTTAAGCACACTGTACGTGTATTTAGTGGCCAGAGGAAAAAATATAATTTTAACTTTTTCTTTTTTTTCACATTTTTGTTGTTTTTGAGGGTGAGAGAGAGACAGAGCATGAGCAGGGGAAGGGCAGAGAGGGAGACACAGAATCTGAAGCAGGCTCCAGGCTCTGAGCTGTCAGCACAGAGCCCGACACAGGGCTTGAACCCACAAACCATGAGATCATGACCTGAGCTGAAGTCGGATGGTTAACTGAACTGAGCCACCAAGGCGCCCCCAACTTTAACTTTTTCTTTACACATTTTTGTGTTGTTTGGCTTGTTGCAAAGAACAAGCATTGCTTTTGTAGTTTGGAAGAATAATCCAATAACTTTTTTTAGAAGTAGTGTGGGAACTAGAAGGAATGGGGGATACAAAAGCATAATTAAAGATCAGAGAGTGAATCTGGAAACTGAGAAGTTTGGCAGGTGAGAGCACATACTTTAAAGCATGACCATGATATGAGAAAATAAGATTATAAAACAAAATAAGGAAGTGATAACTAATAGAAGCTCTGGGCACAATGGACAGCAGCAGATTTAAGGCTGAGAGTGAGCAAAGAAAAGGTCTTGTGTGCAAGGAAAAGGAGGGTGGACCTTACCCAGATGTTTCTGGAAAATTCTTTGTGAGAAAGGAATGCAAAGTATCAGCTGTACTGGGATGACTGGATTGCTCAGTAGGTTAAACGTCCAGCTTCGGCTCAGGTCATGGTCTCACGGTTCGTGGGTTCAAGCCCCAAGTCAGGCTCTGTGCTGGCAGCTAGCTCAGAGCCTGGAGCCTGCTTCAGATTCTGTGTCTCCTTCTCTCTCTGACCCTCCCTGCTCATGCTCTCTCTCTCTGTCTCTCTCTCTCTCAGAAATTTAAAAAAAAAAAAAAAAAGGAAAAAAGAGAGTAAAAAAAAGTATTGGCTATACTCTGGCAATGTGAAAGAACTCCATCTCTCCTCCAAAACAAAAATGTTCTATGGTTCCCTTTTACCCCTCATCAGGGTAAAGTCCAAACCGAAGTCCATGGCTCTTATCACCACCCTTCTCACCCTACCCTGCTCCAACCTCAAACTGGACTCCAGCCTCATAGAGCTACTTGGAGTTTTTAGAAAGCTCTGCTTTCTCCCGGTTCTAAACCTTTGCTCAGGCTGCAGCTTCTGCCAGCAATATCCTTCCCCCATGCCATTCCTTTTTCTGCCTGGCTAACTCTTCAGAGCTCAGCTAACATTTCCTGGGAAACTCGCCTCAGTCCTCCAAGGCTCAGTTTCCCTTCTAGGTCCAACCATATCACCCTGGCATTAACCTAAAAAGAGTACTTTTCACATTTATTTGTAATTGTCAGTTTATCACCTGCTTCCCCAACTAGACTGCAAATCCATAAGGGCTGGAATTTAATATTATTCTTTGTTAATTCTTCGGTACCTAGCACAAAACACAGTCAGATATCTAGAAACATTTGTTAAATGAATGGATATCTTTAACTATACAAGCCATCTAATTCCCCTTTCTTGTATTCCATTTTTTCCCAAAACGTTTCTGCTTTAATTCTCAGTCTTATGTTTGTCAGTCCATAGGCAGAAAATCTGCCTCTACAGGTCATGTCAGTGCCAAGTCTGGGTCCATGTGAGAGTTATATTGCTGACTGAAAACTAACATATTGACATAAGGGTTTATATGTCAATCTTGTATCTTGGTTAAGTTCTTTCCTGGAGGGAAAAAAAATGTGCTGGCAAAAGGACTTGATTCATTCATTCATTCACTCATTCGGCAAATATTTAATAACTGCCATCAATGACAACCTTCATTCTAAGCTGTGACAGCACAGCAGGAAACAGGACCAACAGCTCTACCATCATGGAATCATATTCTATTGGGGGTAAGCAGAGGGACAGATAATAAACATGTAAAAATAAGATAATTTCAGGAAGTGCTAAATGCTGTAAAGAAAATTAAGCAGGATAGGAAATGATTAAAGTTGAGGGAGGCAGACTGAGAGCTCTTTAGACATACAATCAGGGTAAGGCTTCCCTGAGGGGTGAACATTTGAGCTGAGTCCTAAGTGATGAGAATATTCTCAGTCAGAAATTAGAAAATCTAAGATAGGAATGAGCTTAGAATATTCAAACAAAGATAGAAAATCAATATGGCTGGAACATAATGAGCAAGGAAGGTGATACAAGAGTGACCATAAGGTAGGTGTAGAATAGATCATATAGGCCATGATAAGGAGTTTGAATTTTATTACAATGCAAAAGAAAGATATTAGTGAAGTATAAATAAGGAAGTGATAGAGTCTGATTTATACTGTTAAATTGTTAATGACAGAGAAGGCAAGAATGGACAAACAAGAAGCTGTTGAAGCTGTTGTCACTGTCCAAATCAGAGCAACTGATAGCTTGTACTAGGATAGTAGCCATAGACCTGGTGAGAAGTGGTTGATCAGGGTTGAGATAATATTTTCGAAACAGGGTCAATAGGACTTGATGTTAAATTAGACATTGGAGACAAGAGGAAAACAAGAATCAAACTTGGGATCTTTTGGTTCTTCCTGTCAGAAATTCCTATAACTGTCTGCTTTTAAAAAGCAGTGTTCGACTGGAGAACTTCCTTTAAATAACCACAACAAAGTCAAAGCCAGTCAAAATTTCTGCTAGGGTATGACAATACTTGAATTATCTGTAAAAATCCATTATAGAGAATTCAAGAACAGTTTATTTTGTGTTAAATTAAATCTTTTAAACTTCTGATAAATTTTTTTGCAATCAAAAACATAGCTCATTTTACAAAGACCCAAGTGCTTATAGAAGATAGGTTTGTGTCCCTTTAAAAAGTGCCATTTCCTTGAAACACTAGACATCTTTATGCCCAGAGCTTCTATTAGTTATCACTTCCTTATTTTGTTTTATAATCTTATTTTTTCATATCATGGTCATACTTTAAAGCACTGTTTTATGACTCAAACCAAGGCTTAGCAAGCTAGGTAAATTATAGCACAGGAAGAAACAGAATGGCAAGCCCTGCTTCCTGAGTCAACCCCTTAATGTACTCATTCACCTTCTGTGAAACTTGGGACATACTGTGTGATAAACAACTGTTTAAAGCTAAAGACCAATTCTTTTTCTCCTGAACTTAACTCTTCTGGTGTTTTATGTATATTGCCCAGTTATAGTCTCTTAGAAAATAACATTTGAAAACAAACTACACTTATTGCTATTCACAAATCTATTAGAAAAAACATTAAGCAGCATTGAATATAACTTCATGGCTAAAAGAACTTAGGAAAATTCACAGTACATATTTATTGTGTTAATATTCATACCATTATTAAGGATGAAGAGTATTTAGGGGACAGTAAACCACATTCTTCTTCCTACCAAGTTGTGAACCAACTGAAAAACAGGCAAAAGAGTAGACAGCTCAGAATTATCACTCTTACTGATAAAGCTGATGCTGAGAAACAAGGCACCACCAATGAGAGCGGGCATACTTACCACTGAGTCACCGACTGGCAGAGCAGGACGACAGAGACTCTCCCCTCCACTCACTTGAAGACTTGTCCCTGTAAAACCTGCAGGATAAAGAAACAGACCAGAAGGCATGATTCCTGATGGCAGCCTTGTTCCAAGAGTAAAACTGGCCACAGGACTGAGCTTTCTCACCTGGTTTCTCACCATTTAGCATCTTACCCATGGGGAAGAGGTCAAGAGGCCCAAGAGGCTAACAGTGTTAACAGAATCCCCTGCAACTACACTGTATTCCCCACATAATTTTATTGTCTTAACCTTGGTAGTCTTCAAGCTGGAGTCTATCTACACCAGGATTCTGTAAGTACTTTCCAAGGAGAACACAGATGATTTTTAGGGAATCAATTCCATTTATTCAACTTTCACCTACTCTTTCCTAAAACTGAGCTGCCTAAAAATATGACTTAAGTTGAAATGTCACAACAATTCTATTTTTCCAATTCCCTTTAAAAATCATTCTTTTCCCACTTATAAAAAGCAGACATCCTCTCACTTATCCCCGATCTTAGGATGGCAAATGTTCCGTGTACAAAAAGCTTCTGAGTCACCATACACAGGAATAACACTAATATCAATATCAATATTTAACTTAATCAAGGCATGATAAGCCTGTAGGAAGATTTCCTGATTTTCCTTATCTTATTACATAATTCTGTTAAGAGAGAAGCTTGGTGCTAGAAACTGGGTATTTTGGTTTGTCATTGGGGCATTTTGAGTTTTATCTACACTCTAGAGTGGGTTGGCAAGAGTTATGATCATTTTTGTCCAATTCCATTTCCTCTTCCACTCCCTGACAATGCCAAAGAACACTTTCGAGATAGCAAAGAGAAATACTAAAGAAGGTTGAGCCCTATTTCATCTAAGTAATGAAACTCACAGCAAGTTTTCATGTATCTATCTGAGATTTCAAATATGGAAAATTTGTGGAAAATATTCTGAGAAATACCAGTCAGCTACAAGGCACATCTGCTCAGTAATGAAAAAGAACTTGATATAAAATCTCATTCTCCTGTGTCTCACATATTTCAGATGATTTCAAAGAAAAAGATGTTTAAAAAAATTACAAATTTCCAATCAACAGATCAGTGTTATATGTAAAAGAAACATGTATCAGAAGTCAATGTTTTGTATTTTCTTAAGCAATTATACAGACTCATAGGAAAAAATATTTTCCTTGATTTTCACCTAAAGATTATTGAAAGCAGAAAATCTATATTCATTGTTTTACTCAAATACTACTGTTCATTGTCACTTGTTAACCATTTCTTACATCATTATTCATCCCTATATTTATGTAGATTTAGATATGTAGTTTTCTATATACAGTATTCTATTTTATATAAATGTATTTCTAAATGCATTCACAATAGTCACTTTTGATAAGCCCTGTACCAAATAGTATTATTCTGTCTTTTTCTGTCTTCTCCTAGTCTGTCTCTTAGCAAAACATTACATTCATGAATTATTTGGGAAGAGAGAGCGCCAACCATTCATTGAGAGACTTATTTCCAATTAAATTTTAGTTCTCTTTAGTAGCTATGTTTAAAAATTTGTAATGTAGTTATTATCAATTATGCACTAATAATTGTAATAATAATTCAATCCAAAAGAAATTTTTGACACTTAGAACCTTTTTGTCATAATTTTTTTATTATAAACAAATTTTTATTGCAGAAATGAAAGAGTAAGCAATAAAACATATTTGAACATAAAAATATATTTTAAAACTTGTGTGGGGAAGTAGAATGAAAATACAAACTCACAGAAAAAATAATGTAAATCTCTATAAAAATGGATGATGGTGAGTATTCAATTTCTATGGAATTTGATTTAATGCATGTTAACCCTTTTTATTTTAAAATATTCATATTTAGTTTCACCAGAAATTACATCTTTGCAACTAAAATTAAGACAAAAAATTTTACACATCAACTTAAAAATTATTTGGGGGATATGTCAGCAAAATGTATGAAGACCACTGCCTTATGTCTTTAGCTTACCACTAAGATCAACTTCGGATATCGTTATCCTCCTTGGACAAGAAGTCAGAGGTCATTTAGGGCAATCCTGATCCCACCTTCATAAGGTCACTTCTCCCTTTTGTGGGTTCTCCTGGGGTCACTGGTATAGATTTTGTTCCCTTGAATGCCCTGAATGGGTCAAAACAACATATCAACAAATCAGCTCCAATGCTGTTCTGTACCCAAGGCTATAATTGACAACCTGCTCTTTTGCCATCTCAAATTATGTCTCCCTACCTTTTTCAACATTAACATAAGTTCTAAAAGAAGATCAAATGATAACTAAAAATACTCTAAAAATTAAAATTTTTACTTTTAAAATTAAAAGCCAAAGAGATGTGCTCAATATGATTATGACTCCCTCGCAATATGAATTTTCCAGAGAGAAATGAAAAGTTCAGATACTAAATTACCTAAATTACCCTGGCAGTAAACTTAGCTCCTAAAACTGAAAAAACAAAACAAAACAAAAAAACAAAAACAAAACCAAAAAACACCTCCCCCAAAGGGCCCATCCTGTTAAGCTTACCCAAGCATACCCTGGCCTGGGCAGGCCCCTGTGAAACTTAAGGTATGAAGCAGCAGAGCAGAAAGCATACTTTCTGTGGGAGGCCTGACTCCCACGGGAAAATGGAAAGGAAGAAGATGGGCTGCACATGCCAAACTTACACATCAGGAAACTTGCTAGTAGCATTGGAATAGAGTATTGAGAGTTATAATCGTGGCACTCACTCCATACTTCAAGAAACATCTGATGTGGGAAAGAAGTGTTTTTTTCTAAAATGAAGAAATAGAACAGAATTATAAGAAACAGGTTCTCTTATTTAAGAAATATTTATTGAGCTCAAATTTCTGAGCTAGATGTGCTGGGAGATTCATAAGTGAATCAGAGCTGCCTACCAACCCACCACTAACATTTATAACATACATGTATATATCAATGCCACATATTTTAGGTTTTTGCTCCAGCAGTGCCCTGCTTCCAGTACCAGTTTTTGTATTAGTGTAAATGAGTCTTTGTTTGCTAGCAAACCACTAAACATCTCAGTGGTTTAGAACAGCAGAGATGTATTCTCATTCACACAACTGTGTCTGTCAGCTAAGGGCTCTTTTCTACTTTGTCCTGAATCTAGGGCCCTCACTGATGGAAGCAGCCACTGTTTAAAACACTGTTGGGGTGACAGATTACAGAAGGCCACAAATTCAGGGCACCTGGGTGGCTCAGTTGGTTAAGTGTCCACCTTCAGCTCAGGTCATGATCTCAAGGTTCGTGGGTTCAAGCCCTGCATCAGGCTCTGTGCTGACAGCTCAGAGCCTGGAGCCTGCTTCGGATTCTGTGTCTCCTTCTCTCTCTGACCCTCCCCTGCTCACGGTGTCTCTCTCTTTCTCTTAGAAATTAAAAAACAATTTTTTAATAAAATTTAAAAAAATAAAAAAATAAAGAAGGCCACAAATTCTTTATCACTTGTTTCCCCAGTCTCCATTCAAGAGATGGAGTTTATTTCTCTTTCCCTTGAAACTGAACTGGCCCTGTGACTGCTTTAACCAATAGAATGTGTTATTTCTAGGCCTACAACTTACAAGATCTGGAGGCTTTTGCACTTTTGGGAGTCCTGAACTACTAAGATCAAGCTACTCTACTGGAGAAGCCATTGTGAAGTGAGGCCCTGGGATAACACTAGGAAGAAGAAAAACTTGGCTATTCTCACATCTCAGTCAAGCTTTCTAATTACTCCAGCTACAGAAAATACCTGGCTTGAACCACATGAGAGACCCCAAGCAAGATAAGACAGCTGCCCATGAGCCCCTCCAATCCACAAAACCGTTAGTGATAATAAAAGTTACTATTTTTTAATTATTATTTTTGAGAAAGAGAGAGAGAGGCAGAACATTAGTATGAGTGGAAGAGGGCCAGAGACAGAAGGAGACACAGAATCTGAAGCAGGCTCCAGGCTCTGAGCAGTCAGCAACAGAGCCCAGTGCTCGAACTCATGAGACTTGAGATCATGACGTGAGCCGAAGTCAGACACTTAACTGACTGAGCCACCCAGGTGCCCCAGTTACTATTTTAAGTCACTAAGATTTGAAGTGGTTTGTTATATAGCAATACATAACTAAAACATTCCATCATTTTGCCAAAAGAAAAGAGGGTATGAGAAATTGTGCATTCTTTTTTTTTTTTAAGTTTATTTATTTTGAGAGAGAGAGGGAGAGCAAGAGCAGAGGAGGGGCAGAGAGGGAAGAAGAGAGAATCCCAAGCAGGCTCTGTGCTGTCAGCACAGAGCCCAATGCAGGGCTCAAACTAATGAGCCATGAGATCATGCCCTGAGCTGAAACCAAGAGTTGGATGCTTAAACAACTGAACAACCCAGGCACCCCCTTAAAAAAAAGTTTATTTAGAAATTGTGCATTCTTAAAGCTTTTACTTGGAAGTGACACAGATCACTTCCAGTCACATTTCATTGGCCACACGGAGTTCAAAGGAGAAGGGAAATACAAGTCTGCTATGTGTATGGGAAAAAATAGAAATATTTGGTGGCCAGTAGTATTATCTCCCAGAGAGAGGTCAGGGCTGGAGAGGTACATCTTCCACAGAGATAAGTAAATCACTAAGTAGATAAAATGTCAAGGAAAAAAAGAATAATAGGAGGAGAAAAGAACACAGATAATGACAGATGCTTATAGATGACCCCTGGGCGACGTAGGGATGGATATAAAGAGGAAAAGGAAGGTGGGAAAGACTCAGAAAAGGAATATCTACAGAGGCAAAAGGTGACATCTAGAGATCCAAAGGAGAGTTTCAGGAACAGAATAGCCAAGAAGAGCATAAAATAAAATGAATAGGTGAGAAATTTGTAGAAATTCAGAGAAAGAGATCATTGTGGCTGATACAGTCACAGGCCTAAGACAGAGGCAGAATTAGAAAAGGTATTGGAAGATAACAATATGGATGAAGAAAGGATAAAGGGCGCTCTCAGTGAGGAAACAGAATGAGTAAAATCTTGGAGTGGGGAATGAATTTAGCAATGGGGAGGATGGAGACCAGGTATTGTAAAGGGAAACACATCAATGTGATAGAAATTATGTGTAAAGATTAGGTTTGCTGCAGAAGGGAAGGCAGCAAAGCCATTTGTGGATTTATGGAAGACTTTGAGTGGACCAACTGAGATTTCTGAGTTGTTTCCTTTAAATAGCTGAGTGCCATTGGAGATAGGGTACTTGAGTAAAAGAAATCAGTATACAGGACTAGTGCCTTCGTGTGGGAAAAAAAGAAGAAAAAGAGCAGAAAGGTATTACAGTATTCAGAACAGGAATATCCTACTGGGAGATACTGTTACCTGGCGGGGAGAAAGAATTGCCTTTTCGACCAGTTCAGGGAGCTTAGAATGAGAATAAGTTGCTCAGAAAAAATGTTAAAGGGGGAGAGGAGCTTCAAGTGTGGAGAAGTTGAGATATTTATTTTATCAAGGATATAAAAGAAAATGTTTGACTTTTTACTCCCATGGCAGACAATGTTAGTTACCTACCCACATTCCCCATCCTACTCTCTTGACAACAGAACTTCAATACTGCTCAATTCCTCTCTTCCTTTCAAACCAATCAGGGAAAAGAAACCTACATGTGTATAATTCACCTCCAAGGTAAATCCTGATGGTTTAAGCCATTTGGTTAAACCACTCAAGGAACATCATCTTTCTAGGGGTCGGAAGAGGGTTGCTTTTTTGGTGCCCCAATAACAGAGGTGTGCTACTGACATTTAGTGGGAAGGAACCAGAGATGCTAAGTGTCCAACAATGCATGCCATAATACTGCCTAAAATCTGCCAAAAATCAGATAAACACTAACAAATAATGGTAGTCCCAATCTCCTTGTCAGTTGCTGTTTAGGGAATAGTTAGTGACCCTGTCTGGTCAATAACATATAAGGAGTGGCCTGCTATGAAACCTCCCAGGTGGTTTCTTCCTGCCTGATGTCATCCCAACTGTATAACACCTGGTACTGTTAAAAGCATCCATCTTCTCCCCAAATCAGGATGATTCTTCCCAATCATTGGCATTTTCTGTTACCAAGTCCTAAAGCAGTTCTGACTGCTAACCATTAACCTCAGGATGACCACTGAGATATGCCTGGGACAATCTAATTTTAATTCTGTTCTCCCAGTGTATAGTGCCCCCTTTCAGTTCCAAAGATATTCTAGATTGGAGGCTAGACTATATGGTCACTTAGTTTTCCCAGTTAAATCCTGTTCATTCTGCCCCAAGAGAAGCACAGGGGTGAGCAAACTATGGTCTATAGACTCTTTCTGCGTCTCTGTAGATGAAAAAAATGGCTTTTACAGGTTTAAAGAGTTGGAAAAAAATCAGTATTTCATGACACCTAAAATGTCAGTGTCTATAAATATTTATGGAACACAATCATGCTCATTCCTCTAATTATCTTTTATGACTGCTTTCTTACTATAAGGCAGTTGAGTATTTATGAAAGACAGTGCCTAAAATATGTTTGGCTCTTCACGGAAAAGCTTGCAGACCCCTGCCCTAATACCACTTAGTTCTAAGTTTCCTCATTTCTTGCACAAATACCTCGTCTAGTAAGTTGTTTTCTATGCTTTTTCACTCCAATCCTCAATCCATCCGGTAGATAATCTCTCTAGAGAAGTTTTGTCCTATCATTTGCCCCTTCAAAATCTTCAGTGGCTCCTCCAAAAGGGGCGGTTATAAAGTCCAAGCCTATCCGCTGACTAAAGACTACCAACCTAATTTTCCAGACTTTGCTCCTCTTGATTACTGAAGGAAAAATGGATCACTTGCCGTTTCCCTAATAAGTACTTGAGTTCGCATCATATGCCCCCATTGCTTTTCTTTGTCTCTCCTCCATCGCACCAGTTCCTCAAGATTAAACGCAATTTGTAACTCCCTTAATACACCTTCATTCACTCATCACACCGGTGTTTCACAGCAGGCAGTTATAGGAGTGGGTCGGGGGAAACTCCCTGGCAGAAAGAAAACAGACTAGGGCAGGAGAGAGCAAGCCAAAGGAGTGGAGTGCTTGAGGTAAGGAGCCCAGAATAAGGCTTCAGAGGTGAATTTACATCAGACTTTTAAGGACTTGAGAGGCTAGGGGCGCCTGGGTGGCTTAGTCAGTTAAGCGTCCGACTTTCGCTTAGGTCATGATCTCGCGGTTCGTGGGTTCGAGCCTCGCGTCGGGCTCTGTGCTGACTGCCAGCTCAGAGCCTGGAGCCTGTTTCAGAGTCTGTGACTCCCTCTCTCTGACCCTCCCCTGCTCACGCTGTCTCTCTCTCTCTCTCTCTCAGAAATAAATAAAACATTTTTAAAAAATTTAAAAAAAAAAGGACTTGAGAGGCTAAAAGACTTAAAGACTTAGGTTGATAACAAGAAATTGTAAATAAAGCTGAATGAGCGAATAGAAGGACCACTTCATTCTATCCATTTCCCCACCGCCACGGACTATGATTCAAGGGATTAACACCTTTAGTCTGAAACCTGAAAGAAAATTCTACAAAGTCTTGACCAAAACCACCCGGGAGTGGCTGCTCCTTGCCAGCGCGCAGGCAGCGAGTGGATTCCCGATGCCAAACAACCCTAGTGCGGGCACTGTGCACTCTCTCCGCGACAAGAAGACTCCGGTTCGTCGCCAAAACTTTTGGGCGGTAGCTTTGTCTGCGCGCCCACGCTCCCGGCTTCCGGCAAGGCGCGACGGCGCCGGAGGGGTCGGGGGAAGACACCCCCTCAATAGTGTGCGCCAGCAGTTAAAACTAAGTCGTGGCCTCCCGCAAGCCACCAACCTGCGCCCTCGGAAAAGCGACCCAGCCAGGCCCCGCCTCTGCAGCCGCCTTGGCGCACGTGAAGTCCCAGGCGGAGCGATAGCGAAGAAGCGGGAGTTCGCCGGCACGAACTCAGACCTTGGAAGGGAAGCGATTCCAGGGCGCACGCGCACTACGAGGAGACCGGACGGAGCCTGCCTTCCGGAGGGGTTGCAAAGGAAAGGAGAGCGCGTGGCACTCCGGAACCCGCGCACGCGCCGTAGTCTCACCCGGCCTGTGCGCGCGCGCGCGGCCGGCTCTGCATCTTTTCTTCAAGCCCGCCCCCCTCCTCTCCTTCAGCCACGGGAGGCGAAGAGCGAAAGCAGGGAAGTGTGGGGCGAGGTGGGCGGGGCGTCGCACGCGAGCGCGGTCTGCAAAAGGAGGGGGAGGGAGAGATCCAAGACATCGTTACCGCGTCAACACCCAATCGAGAGCAAGCCTGACCCCGCCCCCTCACCTCATGTTATTGGCTGAAAGGCCTCAGATGGGCGGGGTTGGCCATGGGGTTGGGGAGGGCAGGGGGCGGGGAGGAGGAGGAAGGCGCTGGCGGGCAGTGATGGCGGCGGGTGATGGGGACGTGAAGCTAGGCACCCTGGGGAGTGGCAGTGAGAGCAGCAGCGACGGCAGCAGCGAGAACCCGGGCGGCGCGGGAGCGGCAGCAGACGGGGGCGGCTGGGCAGCAGCGGCATTGGCGCTTTTGACGGGGGGCGGGGAGATGCTGCTGAACGTGGCGCTGGTGGCGCTGGTGCTGCTGGGGGCCTACCGGCTGTGGGTGCGCTGGGGGAGACGGGGTTTGGGCGCTGGGGCCGGAGCTGGCGAGGAGAGTCCCGCTGCTTCTCTGCCTCGTATGAAGAAGCGGGACTTCAGCTTGGAGCAGCTGCGCCAGTACGACGGGTCCCGCACCCCGCGCATCCTGCTCGCGGTCAATGGGAAAGTCTTCGACGTGACCAAAGGCAGCAAGTTCTACGGCCCGGGTGAGAAAGAGTTGGAAGGGGAGGGGGAGCATCTCTTGTAGGTCAAGTGTGACCCCCTTCTGATGGGGACTAGGGGGGCTGGGCACCAGGTTGGTTTGCCCAGCCTTCTTGACGTCTGAACCCCTGTGCCCTGATTGCTGTACCTGGGACGGCCCGCCCCACACACACCCCCAGCAGCGGGCACTTACAGCTTTCCCCCTTCCCCTGAAGTCGGGTTTCCGTGTTGCCTCAGGAACCAGCTCTCAGCTTTCATCTACCCATTCCGTTTCTCCATGAAGCCTTTTCTTGTGCAGAATTTTCCAAAATCCTTTTAGTTGTCCCCTGTCAAGCTGGCCCACAACCTTTCCTGAGCTTTCTGATTCCAGGGATGGGTGGGAGCTGGAGGGAGGGGAGATGCCTAAAGTACTGACCCGAAGTTGTAGGCCAGGTAATTCCAGCTTTCCTTTCTTTACTCTTTTTAGCCACTGATCTCCCTTTTCCTTCTACCATTCCCCATAAGGTTTAGGTACGTGTATGTTTAGGTACACGTAGTTCCAAGTCCCCACCGTTTAGGTTGTCTGAGCATATAAGCAGCACCTCAGATTATTTTTTTAAAAACCAGTTTTAGTATGGAGTCGCTGTCCAAGATTAACCATGTATGTAGGATGAAGAGAAACCAGAATGTAGACCTTAATAAAGACTGGCAAGGGTATTCTTCCTGAGTTTTGGAGGTGAAGCTCAAATACCCAGCAGGCGGGCCTGTCTGCTTTCTTTCTTTCTTTCTTTTTTTTTTTTTTTTGATAGTAGGAAGGCAAGTATTCAAATACAGGTTGATAATGACTTACTGTGTTTTCACTGAGCAGAAAAAACTTAGAAGAGTTATAAATCCACACCCCAGTGCACGGTTTCTGCAAGTTAAAGGTTTTTAGAACTTTGCTTTCAGAGAACCGTGTGTGTAGGGTCATTGGGTTAGAAACCCTTCTTTTTCAATGTAGTTACAGGGTACATTTCAGATTATGCTAATAAACTTCAGTTCAGACTCATGGAACCTGTTGGTGTACAATAAAATTGAGCAACGTTGTACATCTGGTTATGTAGTAATTTAAGCTTTAAAAAAAAGTGACTACAATAAAAAATAAGTAATAAAATTAGGGACCTAGAGTGACCTGTTCTTTGAAAGAGTACATTCAAGCCTTAAAGTGAAGGGGGTTGGCAATCTAAAAACAAGTTGGTTTCCTTCTTGATTTAATCTGTTAGTACAGGAGATTTATTGGCACTTGCAAATATATACTTTTGATTTCAGTACTTGATGGCTGGAATATATTTTAGAAGTGCTTTGGTTTTTTAAGTGGAATAGGAATAAGAAATTGGAGATTTTATGCCTTGAACTATTTAATTGCTTAGTTGCTTGTATTTTTGTGTGTATATCTACATTGAATTTAACCAAATCATAGGTAGCTTATAAAGTATTTGCTTCTGGTTACGCAAATATGAAAAACAGATGTCTACCTACATAAATTGGCTAAAACGGTTAATACTTTTTCTTAAGAGTATGAGGGACAAGAGAATAGGGCCAAAGTAAAGCAATTAAATGGACAGACCAAATTAAATGGTTATTTTTTTTTTAAATCAAGGATTTACACAGTACTTTGTACCTGAAGTTTTTTCCTCATTAATATTAAAAGGTGTATGCAGTAATTAGAAATTGTGTACAGTTTTAGATTTTTAATATAGAGCTTACCCAACTAAAAGATCTGCTTTTGTAGCCCCTGTCTAAACTGAAAATGAAACAAAGTATTAGTGCAAAGAAGTATATTAGTCCTCCCACATCATACCTTGCCACTATCTGCAGATAGCTAGGAAAAGCTGTCCTGGACATAGTTTAGCAGCCTCTGGTGTCAAATGTTCTGCAACAGAAATTAAAAATTAAGAGTCATAGATATAATGTAGATAGCCTTTGTGTAGCTTGAGCATTAAGGGGCTTCTCAGATAACACAGAGAAATCAGTTTTAGGTTGACTTCTACCAGTTCCCAGGTCCTGATGAACAGCCTAGGGGTAATCAGTTATTTTATTCTAAGTATTTATTGCTCAACCTAGTAGAGATGTTTGGAATGTTGTATTATTGAAAGGAACCATGAAAGTAGACAGATCATCTATGAGCTTGGAATATGTTGACATTTCACATTAATAGACGTAGCACTTTTTCCAAAAATCTTGAAGCCAAATTTCTAGCTATGAAACAGAAGTTTAGTTTGGGTTTTAATTTTTATTTTCACCCTCAAGTCAGCTGAGCACTTTGAAGCAATCTTAGCCTGACAGTCTTAGAGCTAAGGAACCAGAAAACCTAATTTCTGTACCTAACCAATATCTACTCCCACTTCACAATAACAGTTTTAGAGTTAAATATTGTTTTGTGAGTTTTTTTCTGTGTTGAAGATACTGTTTTTTTAGTTATTTTTAAAGTTCAGGTTTTTAAAAAAATTAAACATTGACAGTTTAGTGGAGTAAACACATGTTGGCAGACAGTTGGCATTAACTACATTTGTCAGCATTAAATTTAGTAACAGTGCAGGCACTTGGCCAGCATGTGAGGAAAGTGGTCATGTAAGAAACAATGAATATGGGAGGAGAAAGAAAGTAAGATTTGTTTAGCACCTACTACATCAAATCCATTAATTTGTCATCTCCACAGTGCTTCAGTGAAGTTAGTAAGTATTCTTCCCCTCAGATGGGGAGTCTGAGGTACATACATGGCATTCAAATATAGGTGCAATTGACCACAAAGCCTATCTGTACTATTTCAGGTAAACTACATTCTGGGATAAACTTGTAGGGTTTATCCGAGGGTCCCATAAGGATCTAAAACCTCAAAGAAACACACTTTCTTGGCTGTATGTTTTGCTCTCCAATATGGTAGCCACAAGCCACATGTGGCTTTTTAATTTTAAGCTAATTAAAATTAAATATAATTAAAATTGAGTTCCTCCATCACACTAGTCACAGTTCCACTCAGTAGCCACGTGGCTACCATATTAGTGCACTTTATAGATTGTTTCCATCTTACCGAAGAGTTCTTTTCAACAGCATTGAGTCTAGAGGTCAAGGGAGAAGGAGGAAGAAACTCCATTTATTGAGCTTATTATCTCACTTAATTTTCAAACAGCCCTAGGAGATAAGTCATGGTCCCATTTTACAAATGTGGAAACTGAAACTCCAGGAGGTTTTGCTCAAAATCACTTACTTAGTGGCAAAGCTAGAAACCAAACAGTATAACTGACTTCATAGGCCATCCCTTCCCATTGTACCACAACAAAATATAATTTCGCACATTTCTAGAGTCAGAGTAGGAAGACTGAAATAGATAGTATAATTTTTGAGTAACTTGATTTAATATTATTATAGTGAAATTCTACCAGAATAGTGTTTTTGTTTATTCTTTAGAATGGCAAATAATTATACAGTTGTATAATTTGTATAATAGTTTGTTTATAATAGTTTATCCTGCATTCCAAAAATTTAAATATATAGTGTCCCCCTTATTCCTTGTAGCATTTTCTTTGACACAGACCAAAGCTGCATTTTCTCCAACTTCCCTTTAAATTCCACTGGAAAAGAAAGTCATATATAAAATGAAAGGGGGCACATGTACCTTTCAAGTGATTTTCCTCCGTTTTTAAATTGTATCTTCAATATGTTACCTTTTATTTATAGTTTGTAAAATTATAGTTGGAGCAAGAGTTGCAGCATGTTGACTAGGCCCAACCTGACCTCTTCCTTTGTGGATATCCTAATCGTACTACCCAGCTATCATTCCAGCTATTTGCTTTGAAGCCAAGTGGGTTTGTTTGAGCTAATGGCGATACATATCCATTACTTTTCAGAAAAATAAAAGATCAGCTAAGTTTTCTGATGAATTTCGATACTCTGCTCAAATTTATACTAGTTATTTCTATAATACCTACCCTGAGTTCAGCATCATGCCATTATTTTTAATCTTTGAAGGAATTGCATTTGTGTTAAATACTAAGTATAAAAGGATAGCTGAAAGCCCATATGCTACCAGAATATGTTATTCATGATGGAAGAAAATAGATAATTTAGTAACATCTAGAGTTAGCCATTCATATTCTTTTAATAATTCTTTCAACAGTCTGTGACATAGTCCACTCCTCCCCTCTGTACCCGTGACAGACATCACTAATAACCTCTATACCCTTAGAACCTGCATCATCTCAAGATAGCTAAGATAGGATTTCATCTCTATTTTAAATACTAAAAAGGAATTGCCTGGATTTCAATACAATGTTACTTAAATAAGATACTGTGAAAAGTGAGTTAACTGAGTTTCAAAACAGTTGGGTTCCTATCTGTGTGGAAATTTAGGAAAACAGACAATAGGCTAGCATTCAGTATATAACTATGATTTATATTTAAATATTCTATGAAAGAAATGAATAGGATGTGTAATAGAG